AATGGTTATAGATAGTGTACTGATGGCTACTTTTTGTGAGGATGGGAAGTGCAGCCAAGTTGTTGGAAGACCTGAGAAATGGGGAAATGGAGCCTGATGTAGTTTGTTAGAGCTGGAGATAAACCCAAAAGGTCTTTTTCCTGTAAGGAGATGATGCATTGTTTTTACCAAAATCATTTTTTTTTAATTACTTTCTTTGCCCTTTCACTCTCTCCATTTGGTTCATCATCCCTTGGCCACCCAGAGTGGTTCTAATCAATTGTTTGTTAAGAATAAAGGACGATTCTTTATCCTTCTGTCTCACCACCATCAAATATTATGTACCATAAATCTAAATGAATATATATATATATATATATATATATATATAATTATGAGTTGCTTTGAGTTTTTTGAAGTTCTTTCATTGAAACAAATATGAGCATAAAGTGCTTAACAATAGTGTGATGGTAGGGATAAAAAATCACATATTCCAATATAAGAAGCAATTCATGAGTTGCTTCCATTGAAAATTCTCCAATACCACCTTTGATGCTAGACTTGTTCCTCTGACCACAACCTCAGCATTTAGAATTGCTTCTACCAGTTTAAGTACTTTCCCCTTCTCTACCGTACCATATTTTTAGACTATTCTTTTTTGGGTAAACTCTAGCTTAACACAGTTAACCATTCTCTTGTCTTCCTTTTACTCAAAGACACTCGTCTCATTGAGAATGAGATACAACACATACATTAAACGAAAAATAAATAGAACTCGCATCTAAATTAGGGAGGGTTTGAATTGAATTCAAAATCCTCTTACTGAATTTGAACTATTTTGAGCTGGATTTACTATGTACAATATTCCTTAGCGACATTTTGAAACTGTCGGAATTCTTCCTTTTGGGATATTGAAAATTTGCAAATACTTAGTTTTCCTTCAGTGTGTTGGTGTAAGTAACTGATCATAAAAAACAACTTCTAGAATGGATGGTTATAAAAATTGGCTTGGCAAACTATAACTTGGGGGGCCATACTTGGTTCTAATTGTTTATTAAATTTATTCATTATGTAGTGAATTCGACTATGTAATTATTAAAGTAGTGCTAAATCAGATTAATTTTTCTAGTCAAACCATAGATTAGCAATGTTTTAATCTAAATTATTTGCCACTTGCACAAGTTCCAATGATAATCACTTGGGGATAATGTTATTATTGTGCTATATTGGTTGTGTTTATTGTCATTTATTACGGTATGATCTATTAGAAGTGTTTCGATAAAATTTAGGATTTCAAATAGTGGGATAGAAGCAAACCAAATATTAGTTTTACGAAAAATGTAAAAAAAATTCAGACCAAGGGCTTAATCTTGAACCATGAAGATCCCAACATTGTTAAAGGAAATCATTGGTAATTTAAATTTAATATCCTTAAACTCCATAGTATGATGGATTTGTCTCAATAATTTTCTTCTTTTTTATGATGAAGGAGTTTATGTATACACAATTTTAAGTTTCATGACTCAGGAACAAAAAATATATTTAAATGCATTATCTTAACAAGTGTTATTTTTTGTGAAAATTTGTTAGTATTTTATCGTTATAAATTTGTAAAAGCTCAAATGTTAATTTCAGTTTAACGCAACAAATTACTCAAACTATTAAATAGAAACATTTTTAGTTAATAGAATTAGGTCTTTAAATAAACTTACAATTAAGTATTGCAAATAATAATCTTTTACAAAAAAAATATTATTGTTCGGTTGATATTAGAGACTTTAAATGTTCCATTTCTTCTCTCACTTGTTTATCAACTTAAAAAAAGATAAATCGACAGGTAGAATTGATAGGAAGAAAAAAAATACAGAAAAGAATGGGAAAAGTGTATTATGCATTAAAAGAGCAAAATAACTAATATAGCAGCCTCTTTAAACATAAAAAAAAAAGTATCATAGAAATAAGGATGATAAAATAAATAGTGAGAGATACATCTGGAATTCATCTAACATCAATACAAAAAATACAACTTAAAAGTTAAAAAATTACACCAAGGTGGATTTGCAATTGTTTTTTATTGAAACACAAATATATATATATATATATATATATATATATATATACACACACATATATATAGAAAAATTAATAAACAATTGTGTTAAAAATAGAAGTTTCCAGACTTAACCAAATATTAATAATGTAAAGATATAGAGTTTTAATCATAAAAGCTGAAGAAGAGAAGGAATAGCATAAGGCTGTTTTTGATTTGTAACAATATAAATGGTTTTAGTTTGATTGATGACAGAGAAGTTAAATAAGATGTGGAGTTGAGGAAGTTATAATGTAACAAATTATTCTCAAGAATTATAGTGTAGGAT